GAAATGTGAGTCAAAACCACAATGAGATATGATCTAACTCTAGTTCAAGCTAACTCTAGATCAAGCTTTGAGAGCTTTTATCAAAATGTTACAAAACAACAGATCCTGGTGTGGACGCGGAGAGAAAGGAACACTTATACACTGTTGGTGGGACTGCACCTAGTGCAATCTCTCTGGAAAGTCATACGGAGATACCTCTAAGAGCTAAAAGTAGACCTTCCATTTGATATGGCAATCTCATGGGTAATAAGTCATTTGATCAAAAAAATCCCTGTATTCAAATGTTTAATTGCAGTACAGTTGCAAAGATGTGGAATCAACCTAATTGCCCATCAATACATGAGTGCATTAAAATAATGTGGTATATGCAGACTACGGAGTACTACTCAGCCACAAAAAAATGGTGAATGAATATCTTTTGTAACAACCTGTATGGAGCTGAAGTATCCAAAGAATGGAAAAACAAACACCACATGTGCTCACTATTAAATTGGAACTAATCGATCACCACTCATGTGCACATACGGTAGTAAATCTCAACAGAAACCAGGTGGGTGGGTAGGGGGAGGAGGGCGCAGGCAAATTTACACCTAATGGGTATGATGCATGCTATCTTGGTGTGGGAATACTTATAACTTTGACTCCAACAGCACAAAAGCAATTCATATAACCAAAATATGAAATAAAATAATAATTTGCTTAAAACCAAATAGCTTTATGTAGTTGAAACTAGAAATGTATCTACTTTTAAAAAACGTAGACATACATACTATTAGGTTGACTATCAGATTATCATCAGGTCATATTTTACTATCTTTAGGAAACAATTTTCTTTTAAGGCTCTGTATTTTTGAACCTGGTAGGATAGCTGCTCAGCCTTTTGGCTAAGATCAAGTGAAACAAAAGATTCTTCGGTTTGATGTATGGGACATCTTATCACAGGCGTGTTATCATACATTTGGCATCATGACATTTGAATTCCAGGGGTAAATTTGGGTGCAGTTATCTGGCCAATATGTTCTAGCCATTTCCTGATGCTGACTAATGCTTTCTGTGTTTTGACTCCAATTCTCCCAAAGCACATTGTCCCCCCTTATCACTATATTTCAAACTTCCACTGATGTATCTTTAAAAGTTAGGACATATCCTAGGAGACCATAAAGCTATTTCTTTGTATTTTACACTTAAGTCTACCTCAACATATAAAATGTGAATGAGACAGCTATTATTACTTAACTGCCTTTAAAGAAATATATTTAATTTTCTTAAATGATGTTATAAAAATAACATTTCTTCAATTGTAGTTTGAATTCATTTTGTTTACCTACTTGAGATAAAAAAGAAAGTTTCCAATAATACCCTACAATTGTCATATACGACAGCTCCATTATAACAACTCTCTTTGTATTATACAGATCCAAATGCAACATAAGCCAAATTTTGCCGCTATATATAATATATAAGAGTGAAAATGGTTATCCCAACAGCCAAAATGGCAGAAAGAAGGCTTCCATAGCTTTTGGAAGATTGTTAGATCACTTCTTAGAATAAATAATATGTGCGCTCAAGGAGCATAGAGAGGTCATCTGTGGGTCCCATGTTCCTTGTTAGATACTCTGCATTCACACCTTGCCTTGACTGATACTCAGTGAATCCCAGGGTGCTACTCTCTCCCTTAATACCCTATTATTTCCTCTTCCTTAAAATTTGCTCTCATTGAACAACACTTTGTTGCCAAGCTATTGATGCTAAAACACGAGAAGGGAAATTGAATTAGTCAATCCTGTGGATGCTGTGAATGCCTGAATATTTGAAATCTGGCATCTGAGATATCAAGTGTGTGACATTTTCGCTTTTCATTCAAATATCTAAGAATCACAAAAATAGTACTTAAGCCCACTTGACAGGAGCTCTTCATTCAGAAGGGAAAGGCCAATGCTAGGGAATTTCAGTCTCATGAGATTTGCCAATCAGCCATGAATTTTCACTGTGACTATTACTCTAAATTTTTGGATGACTCCTTTAAGGCAATGTTGTCTGAAATAAAACATTTCAGTCGATCAAGTGTCACAAGCTCCATTTCTCTTTCTCACTCCCTTTCCTCGCTTCAGTCTGCCTAGAGTTTTTATGAAGCGCTGGTTTTGTGTCTTTTGTTTTTCTAAAACAAGATTTTAAATGAAATGAAAGCCAGATAATAACAAAAATCTCGTACCCTGACAAAGCTGTAGGAGCTTTTCAAGGACTTACAAATAGGTGATTAGCGATGCCTGATGTATTAATTACATTGCTTAGACCAGCTTTCCCACCTGGGCAAAGCTTCTAATTTTCTAACTTAAAACACGTATGGGAATTCTTAGACGCTGGCATTTGGTTGAAGAACACATATCTATTTAGCAAATACAAGCCACTTTGTTTATAAATAGTGCCATCATTCAACAACTTTGGTATTGCTTCTGCAAATGTAATAGAAGAAATAAAATATATCATTAGTATTAATACTTATACAAAAATATGGAGATACTTTATATAGGTTTTAAGTAAGAAAAACCTTTCCTCTTTTTCAACATGGAAAATGAGGGAACCACAAAATAGAGGTATTTCCCATCACTTCTAGCCCAAATCTGTATAGTGAGTGAGGTCAATACTGTTATAGCAGGTGCTGTGAGGGTGGGTAGGAGAATGTAGAGGAAGCAGAGATGCAGGATTAAAAATGACCACGTGTCTACTGAAGAAAGGGTGCTGTGGCTGAGATTTGCTTTCCTCTTCCTCCTAGTTCTAGGTCTTACTAAATATTTCTTGTTCCTTGTTTATATCACTATTATACTTAACCCCGGCATGTTCCGAACGCTCAGTGAGCAAACACAACTGCTTAGGGAGTGGTGCTGTTTTACTGAGCATCCACTAACATTTGAGTGTTCTAATAAAAGGCTTGACTTGTTAAATTTTATTTCAACAGATACTTGCTGAAATTGGGCACCCCACAGGTATAAGCTGGGACTATAAACTAGGCACTTTTATTTGGATTTCCTCTTTCCATATTGTTCTTTCCTTGATTCTATCTCCTAATCTTTGACTTTCTCTCCTACTTTCTTTTCTCTTCTTTTGCAACTTTTCTTCTCCCTTTATCTTCTTTTTTCTTCATTGAGTATTCTTCTATTGATCCTTCTCTATTTCTGTTCTAGATACTTTTTTCTGATCACTACTTTTGCTACCATCCCTAGAGCAAACTCAGTTTCCCAATAGTAATGTAACTGCAGTGGGGCATTGAGCTCACTCAGAAGCAGTGCTTGGAACTCTTAACCTGTCAACTGTTCTATTAGGTCAAGTCACAAAATCAGCTAATAGAATAGAGTGAAACTAACTTTCATTATTTTTATATTTTCCTTATACATTCTTCTGGAAGTAAAGAGCATAATTCAGGTAATAGAATCTTTGGCAGAGTCTTGTTTTATAAGGGCAATGATATCCCCTGGAAAATAAATCCAGGCAGGAAGTCAGGAGATGACGGTTCCCACTCTCCCAAACACTGGATAACCTCCAGCAAATAATTGCCACAAGCTGTACCTTCAGTTTGCTATTTTGTAAAACAGAGATAATACTTAATACTGTATCTGATAAATATTGGTTAAAGAATAATTATATATGCTAAAAGGCTTTGTTCTTTAGAAGGGGAGAAATGCTATATGATAATCTAGTATTTATTACTGTATCTGTTCATCAGAAAACATGATTTAGTGATTCTATCATATAAAGAACAAAAGGTCTTTGTGTGATACCAAATTTGGGTTAGCTTGCGATTTCTAGGCTGTTGAGCTTCTGTCACCAGCATCTATGGGGCCTGATCAATACTAGCCCTTTTTGCGTAGCCTCTTTGAACAGGTTTTTCTGAATCTTCCTCTTACTGCAATGGACTTGCTCTTTTCCAGAGGCCCTGGGTAGCCATGGGAAACCATTCTTAAGTCGCTCTTCCCCAAGTTCTACAGTGACTAAAGAGCAAAAGAGAATTAGAAATGTGTGTGTCTCCCACAACAGTGAGGTTCCTATAGAGAAAGTCAAATGTAGGTGATTCCTACGGGGAAAGTCAAATGTAAGAGAAAGAACATATTTGGTTACTCTCTTTTTAACAGACACTGTTCCTCAATTAGCCCCTGCAACAAGAGAACATATCCATCACAGGCCCTGAGGGGCAGATGTGAGAGTGTGAAAGCCTATTAACCATCCAATTTCATGGTATCCATGCTGCAAAATGAATTTTTTCTCTTTCCACTGAATGAACTTACTCAGAAATCCTGCTGACTCATTGGGACTCGGAAATATAGATCATTCTTAAGAGGCGTTTCCAGTAATAACCCACTTTCATTTATATGGACAGTTCTTCTGTTGATCAATTCATGACTTTGTAAGTAGTTCCCTTAAAAATCTTTACATTCATTTGTAACTCTGTGAGGAAATCCACAAAGGTTTTAAAAAATCATAGCCTTTTATTACTAAGTACATTTCTAGATTTATTTACTCATGCCATTCTCCCAGAAAACTTCACCTTTTGCCCTTCACTGGGGTAAGAGAATGCAAAAATGTCTACCAGTAAAGAAGTTCAAGGATTCCCTCATTTAAAAAGTCTATAGTAAGAACCAAACATGGAAGGAATAGAAAGAAGTAATAATTGACTCAGTATTGCAGATCCATTTACCGATTTTTGTCTAAACACATTGTGACTAAGTAGCGTCTACTAATTTTCATGCACAAACACTTTTATATATGTATATATATTTACACACACATATATATTTAGATGTATATAGTTAACACATGGAATGGCAACATATCAAATGCTTAAATTTCATGCAAACACATAAATCCTTCTTGTGAAGGAAACATATTCATATTACAAAAACAAATCATGGAAAGTAACATGCAACAACTGAGGGGAGGAAAATGGGGTTGCGGTGGGGGGATCAGGAGAAACACAAAGAATGTAAAGAACAAAAAGTGTCATTGACCTGATTTGTCAGAGCTGTTGCCTGTGATTGGAGTGATGGAGCAGCTGGGATTAGCCTTTGCGCTGTCCTTGGAAGAAACCATTTTGGGTTTATTTTTCGTTGCCTCTAGTGCTTTGACCTTCTTGGCATGTTTACTTCCTTTGTAGTGGGCCTCGGCCTGGCTCTACAAAGGAGAACAAATCAGGCTCATTTTTTGCTACTTACAAACACCACAATGGATGATCATGCAGGAAAAAAAAAATATATTCAGTCATAGGCACCACAGACATTTACAACTCAGGGCTTGACCACGTTTTTGGCATTTCATGAAGTGGTATACCGGTATTCAAAACCCTCTATACAACACAGAGGACCTGCATCTTTAAAAAACCCAGACATTAAGTGAGTGGACAAGAGAGTCAGGGCAAAATTGTGATGAAGGTGAGCTTTGTCATCAGTGCCCTGTCACGAGTGCCTGTTGGGTTTACTTTTCAAATATTCCCCTGGCATCAGCAGCTTTGCGTGTCCTGTGCCTGCACATGGGCATGACCTTCCACAACCATTTCCCTGTAGTTGAAAATTCTGTCTGCTCTACATCTACTGTTTTCTGGGCTCTGCTCTGAGACCAACCGGCGTGACAAAGCAATACCAGTGTGTTAATAGATGTTACCGAATGGAAATGACACTGGATTTTGGAAACATCTACAAACACTTCATGTGTCATTTTGATAACTCATGTTCCAAGAACAGATAATGAAAGCCTGAGGAAAGGTTAGGGACAATTCCTGTTTCTGATCTCAGATGTGATTCTAAAGCTAATGCAGTTAGTGTTAAATTCAGCGATACCCAAAGCATATGTAGAATTGTACCTGTAAGGCTAGATCAAAAGGAAGAAAGAAGAGTAAGACAAAAACAAAGCAAATCCCAACAAGCCCAGAAAACAGTCCGTCAATTTCCTGACATTTGGAAGATTCCCCTCTGCCTACAGAACGAGGCTTTTTATCTTTTTGGCACTTGGTCCTAATATACACATGAACAAAACAAAGTAAGTATATTCACTGGAATTTTATCTTGAATTGACTCTGAAAAAATATAAACATGCATTTGGTGAAAATATAACAAAACAGATGGCATATTGGCTTAGGTATAAAAGTGAAATGGATGATAAATTTCAGGTAAAACAAATTTCTAAAGAAATAACGACTTCTTTTTACATCAGTTTTCTTTATATACTTGTGTGTGTTTCTAATGAACTCTTCCATCCATTTTCCTGATGGGGGTGTGTGTGTGTGTGTGCACATGCGTGTGTAGGTAGGTAGGTAGGTAGAGGTGACAGTGGACAGAACAGGCCCTGTGTCTTTAGGGGCCATGTTGACTTCACCAGTACATGAGATAATAAGTGTGATGCAGAGTTATCCACATGCAAGTGTGAACTAAAATAGCAAAGCACGCCTGTTGTGGGAGATACAAAACAAAGGGGAAAAAAAGGATGGGGGGGAGTGGTGTTAATAAAAACTTCCTAAAACTGGGAATTTTTGATTTGCGATTTCAAGAAAGAGGTCCATATAAATTGGCAGAGAAAGTGCACTTCTGATGAAAGGATACGGGGATAAGAAAGGACTGAGGCGAAAGTACAGAACAGAGAGGGAAATGGCTGGAGAGGGTCTTACCTAGGCCTCTTGTTGGGAGGCCAGGGAACTGAACACGTGGCTATGTGGAGTAGGCCACCACTGAGACAAGATTCTCAAGCAGAGGCATGATGATAAAAATTTCAAATGGAGAGGATTTCTACGATGCTATTCCTTATGTGTTTGTTTGAATAGGAGAGAAAAGAGATGCGACAGATAAGAAGGTGGCAGGGGGAATATGTGATTTTTTTGGTAAAATCATCAGTGGAGAAAATGAATATAATAGAAAAAGTCCTAATTATAATAATAACATTGATTTCATGAAGGTTCGGGTATTATCACTATAAAACTATTTCACTGCCAACTACTAGAGATGAAGCTCTCTTGAAACACGCCATAATCGGACTAAGCCATCCGAGGCTTATTTTTGTGTGAAGTGTTTCTTCTGAATTCCCAGCTTTTTCCACTCCAGTTCACCAGGCTCATGTTGCTTTGCTGTCCTCAGATATCCGGCCATACCTGGGTCAGAAGAACAGATGATGGCGAGTGCCACTTCAGTGCCAATATCACTTCTAGATCTTGGTGGGGGATGAATCTACTTTGTCCCAAGCTTATCAATGATGCTGATGAAGTTGTTCATGCCAAACATTATGGCCGATGCAACCACGATGTCAAGGGTCATGCAATGAGTTTAATATCATACTCTGTATTTTCTGTCCCATCTGGGTTGGAGCTTTTTGATACATTTTTGTCATAGTCTGTTTTTCAGTATTCTTTGATTCTACTGTGTCATTTCTTGTGGGGTGAGAGGCAGTTAGGAAAACAATATATTGCCTTTCATAGTAGTGCAATCTAGGCATGGGTTTTGGTTTTGTATTGCAACTCAAGTTATATAGGTGATTTCTCTAGTATGTAACTCAGAGAACCCAAGGTCTATAGCCTTGTACTGACTGCACAGTCCCTACCTTCTTGAATATCTTTTCGGAAATGCCTTTTTAGATCTTCTCTGACTTATCATCACTCTTACTTGGTTTGCTCAAAGACTTCTCACATTCTCTGTCAAGTTGAGAAAGAAAATCCCAACATAGGAGAAAAGTGTAACATTATTTTAAGTCCTTGATTTTGACAACTGAGAAGAGACAAATCCAGCTAATATTGTTGGGTCATTATAAATTAACAATCTATGCAAACAAAAATAAAACATTTGATAACATGAAGTTAAAAAAAAACTACTATTATTATTATTGAGCACTGTTCCAGGAACTGTTCTACTGTACCTGGAATAGTGCTCAATAATAATAGTTGTTTTTTTACTTCATGTTATCAGTTGTTTTATTTTTATTTGTATAGATTCTTTTAACTCAATCAATCCTCATAATAGCCTATGAGATAGGTCTTATTAACCAGCACTTTACAAATGGAAAACTAGGCATAGAGAAATGAAATAACTTATCTAAAGTCACACAGGTAGGTGTAGAAGCCACAGGAATGTGAAATCCTTATATAAATATTCCTATTTAATTATGTGACCACACATTACATAAACACATACTTACACTAAGTTTATATTATCATTTTATTAGAAGTGATATATTATACACAAAGAAAGCATACCCCTTTTAATAACTCAGAGAAGGTTTATAACAAAGATATGAATTTCTATGAATAGAAAATGTCTACTTAATTCATGAGAAATATATTAGAATAATACATTAAGTCTGGTCCTTGTGATGAGTAGCTAAGTTCCACTTTTTAGGTATATAACAATTTCTACAAGATGTCAGGAGATCTTCTAGAAACTCATTTATTCCAAGTATGCTAAATAGCTCAGTGTTATTCTAGTGCCCTTTGGCTAGAGAAACCTATGGTTCTCTAAATACAATCTCTCAGTACAAGATAAGCAGAGTGTCATTTCCCCATTACTATTCCCTGGCATCACTACAGAAAGTTAACAGCATCAATTAACACTCGGGATAAAGATCCAGCTAAGTGACACCTCGCTGGATGCCAAGATGGAAAGAACTCTTCACAGCTATGATCCACTTTCCCTTTCACTTCTGAGACGTGGAGCACGGGTACTTCACTTCTACTGACTGCTGTTTGGGAAAAATGGAGGGGAAGATTGTGGAATGGACAGAATGGCAAGCGCCACTCACATTTGGCATCGTTCTTATTTTCCTGTGATAGTCTCGTTAGTAGCACTACGCTATTCTCAGTACTGTATCTGAGGCAGTGTCAACAGCTTCTAAATCCTGGGCAAATATTCAAGTGAAACTGAGACACTGTTAAATAGCAACATGATCAACCTGACTTTATTTTCTAGGAATCTCCTTAATTGAAGAGTCGAAGAAACAAGGCCCAGAGCCAGAAAGTCTATGAACTGGACAATACACACAAAACTCAATCAACGGTGGTTCTTGCACCACTTCTAAGAAACTTGGTTGGCCAGGCTGACTTACTTTGACCCCACGACTAATCAGCAGACACATTTGTCTAGCAGTAATGGTTTGCTTTCTGCTTCTCCTCCTAAAGTGCTGCTGTGCTCCCAACTGGCAGTGATCAAAGAAACCTCTTGATGAGAATTGCCAGAATTAGAGAGTTGCTCAAGTCACCATACTGACCTCAATGTAAGAATTCATCAGTATTTGGGGGTTCTTCTCTGGTAGCTTCCACTCACAGAGGAACATCTTTGATAGAAAATGACCTCCTGGATTTTTTTTCCTCCCTTAATCACCTTTGTTACTAAAGCCCTTCACTTTTCCCAGGTCCTCCACATCTCTCAGGACCCCTTTGGTCCGAACAAAAAAGATACAGAATGAAATAACTTATTGCTTTAAAAACAAAAATGTAACATGGTATTCCTGAGAAGTCTTCAAATTCACTATGCTCTCATTTCCCATTTTTACCTTATTTCCAATTTGGAGTTCCGAATGATGGCTAGGATGTTGAATTTTGACATTAAAATGTGTTTACTTTGTATGGAAAGAACTGTCCAAACACCAGCTCACAAAGTAGCTGGGGGAAAGAAATGAACCTCCAGAAACTACTTCACTGTCTCTTTACCAATATAATCAATCTTTTTATGTTTTAAAAAGTAATTAGAACTCCTCACTTAATTCAAGAAAGTACAATATTAAAACTACTAGTATCTTTTTTTTTCTTGAGATCATAGATTCAATGAGTTATAGGGGAAATAGCAGAGGCCAGTTCAATGTCAGGAAAACCCTATATGCTAAAATGCCAGACAAAACGTATGTCACACAACCTACCATAAAACAAGATAAATGAACAAGGGAGAACTTGACTCTTTATTCTACAAAGAATTATTTAGTAACTGCCATGTTAGACATTGTAAAAGATTAAAAACAAAGATCCTTACTTGTAAGAACGGTGGCTGGAAGAAAAGAGAGGAAAAAAATAACTATAATCCATCACAGAGGATGGAATAGTAAAATGGGAGATTCAAAAAAAACAAAGAACTATGGGGGTCAGGGGAGAAGGAAATGTCTTCAGATTGGAAGCAATCAAGGAAGCTTCATGAAGAAAGGGCACCTGA